TTTTGAAAAATATAAATTTACTATTTTATTTTTAAAACAGCTTATGCTGACATAAGCTGTATTTTTTTTCTCTACAGAAATCTGACCCAGCGGAATCCTTATCAGAAATACGGGAAGTTTTTACGCATTTTAGAAACAAAGAAAACAGACCGAATGACACATTCAGCAATTTCCGGAAGCTCAATAAACAATAATAATGAGTGATGAGCCGAACAGGCCCGAGTTCAGTTCGAATTCGAACTTTAGAACATCCAAAAAGTTTGAATTCAAACTCAAACTCAATGCAAGTCAAAGGGGGCAGAACTTTCGGAAATGATTGTCCCCTTTAAGAGGGCTTATATGCAAGTTATTAGCCATAAAAAGGTGTATGGTGTTCCGGGTACTGCCCTGGGGGACATGTAAGGGGATCCGGGTACTGCCCTGGGGGACATGTATGGGGGTCCGGGTACTGCCCTGGGGGACATGTATGGGGGTCCGGGTACTGCCCTGGGGGACATGTATGGGGATCCGGGTACTGCCCTGGGGGACATGTATGGGGATCCGGGTACTGCCCTGGGGGACATATATGGGGATCCGGGGACTTCCTGCTCATCCTGCTGGGTGAATATCCCCTCCTCTCTCCGCTGGCGTCCATCACCAAGATGGCTGCCGGCAGGTGTCAATAAGATGGCGGCGCATGCGCAATGACGTCATCGTGCACGCGCGTGGCAACATCACAAGCATGTGTGGTGATGTCACAACGGGGTGTCACCCGGTCTCCTCTCCTTGGGCCTTGGGATGCCCCTGCTAAAGACTCATCTCTTCAGGGAAGCCTATCCCACCTCAAACTAACCACTCCACCATCACGTTCTCATACAATTCATCCCCACACAGCTCCCTCCTCATGTATCACTGGCCCCTCCCTTTTAAATTGTAAGCCCTCAGGGGCAGGGCCCTCCTTACCATCTTGTCTTGAATTGTATTTGTAATGTCTTCCTTATATTGTATATATATATAAATCCTGTATAATCCTGTATAATATAATAATATAATAATAATAAAATAATAATAATAATAATAATAATAATATATGTACAATGTCACATGATCTTTATATGATTTAGCATTAATACAAATATACTAAGGAAAACTCACAAAGAAACAATAACAAGTCTTTTATTTTGGGTAACAAAACATTTATTATTTTCCCCAAAAAAGAAAAATCTTTTCCTGTTTAATGAACGTTTGTACAATGTATATAATGAGGTGCAGCGATGGGATCAGACGGAACCCCACCCCATCCTTTCATTCATTTCACACAGTGTCTGGCTCACCTACTGGGCTTGTAGGGTCATAGCTGAGGACGCTGCATGACTATCTTGTACAATGTGTGAATCTTTGTCATGCGGATATGTGAATCTCTTCTGGGATAAGAGGTGAATGCAAGGTGAATATTTCGGGGGGTTGTGTCACTAGAAGGAAAACTGGAAAATAACGGCTCCCTGTACTGAAAAGTCGCAATTTCCCTATGTGTCACCACCCACACCACCAATCATTGCTCTGATGAGGAACTACAGTGGCTGCAGGATCTTTAGCACAATGGTTGGCAACTTACGAGGTCAGGGGGGCCTAAACTGTGGCCCCTGACACCCCCAAAGGGCCACAAATAAAATTCAGTATGAAATAGAAGACCGCTAGAGACACACTACAGGAGACGTCAGAGACTGCAGACATGTAACGGGGGTACTTGGAGACTGAAGACGCCCTACTGGAGATGGTCAGAGACTGCAGACATGTAACAGAGGTACTTGGAGACTGAAGACGCCCTACTGGAGATGGTCAGAGACTGCAGACAGGTAACAGAGGTACTTGGAGACTGAAGACACACTACAGGAGACGATCAGAGACTGCAAACATGTAACAGAGGTACTTGAAGACTGAAGACACACTGCAGGAGATGGTCAGAGAATGGAGACCTGCTACATGAGATCAATGCCATTATATCCTCTTTACAGATGAATGTTTCTACTGCTGATTGCCAGGTTCTGCAAAGGGGCAAACAGCAAGTACCAAAGTGCTGCATGTGGCCCTCTGACTGCCAGGGCTCTATCACACTTCTGGGGGTTGTCAGATGCCTGTCCCCCCTGCTGAGTGCCGTGGTTCGGTCTTCTGGCCACCACCTCACAACTGTGTCCTGTAGGCCCCATTCACACTGAGCGATTCGCAAATCGCGTGTTTGTCGCGCAATTTGCATTTCGCGCGATATCACGCAAATGCTTGCATTGAGCAAGCTAGAATTGCGTCAAAATCCGCTCCAAAAAGGGTCCTGCTGTAGCGACACACGACCCGCGACAGCGACGGACAGAGCCCCACTGCCATGCATTAGAGAGCGATATCGCGCAGTAAATAGCCGCGATATCGCGGGAATCACACATTTCTTTACAGGGAGCAGTATTTTTCAAGTTTTTATTCAAGTGACAGAGTTGCCTTAAAGTGAACCTGAACCCAAAAAGTGAAGATCTGCCGTCTCTCGGGGGTCATCCAGAAAAGGTCATTGAGCCCAAGCAGTGCCCTGACCAATCTTCCTTTCCTGGTAGGTTTCGGGTGCCTAGGTGCTCCTGTGCCTACAGGCCTATCTGCAGTGAGAGATCTAAGGCACTGCTGCTGCTGACATAGTCTCAGGACATCTGGAATGAGATTTGGTGATGTCACTGCTCTGCTGCTCGACGTTGTCCTGACATGGGGAAGCAAAGCCCTGCCTCTACCAAGATGGCCGCCTCCACACAGAGACAAAGTGCAGAACAAGGCATGGTGAGACAGTAACGGGGAAAAGATCAGCTGCAGGGAGATCACAAGCAATACCGGTGATCCGTTCTTTGCCCTCTGCCTGCTCTCTTTTTTTTTTGTGCACAGCTTCCAGAGTTCAGTTCCCCTTTAGGAAGTCATTGAAATTTTGCAAATTACACTTAGGGATCTATTTATAAACAATTTGCAGAGCCATTCGCCTGGTGAATGTATATTTTCTGTTCAGCTTAAATGTAGCATTGGAAAAATACCGCATTATGGTCACTAGATGGAGCAGAGGAGTACAGGAAAGAAGTATTACACTTCCTATGTTCCTCATCTCCATCTAGTGGCCATAATACCGTATTACATTTCCTATGCTCCTCAGTCCCATCTAGTGGCCATAATACCGTATTACATTTCCTATGCTCCTCAGTCCCATCTAGTGGCCATAATACCGTATTACATTTCCTATGCTCCTCAGCTCCATCTAGTGGCCATAATGCAGTATTACATTTCATATGCTCCTCAGCTCCATCTAGTGGTCATAATACAGTATTACATTTCCTATGCTCCTCAGCTCCATCTAGTGGCCATAATGCAGTATTACATTTCCTATGCTCCTCAGCTCCATCTAGTGGCCATAATACAGTATTACATTTCCTATGCTCCTCAGCTCCATCTAGTGGTCATAATACAGTATTACATTTCCTATGCTCCTCAGCTCCATCTAGTGGCCATAATACAGTATTACATTTCCTATGCTCCTCAGCTCCCTCTAGTGGCCATAATACAGTATTACATTTCCTATGCTCCTCAGCTCCATCTAGTGGCCATAATGCAGTATTACATTTCCTATGTTCCTCATCTCCATCTAGTGGCCATAATGCAGTATTACATTTTCTATGCTCTTCATCTCCATCTAGTGGCCATAATGTAGTATTGCATTTCCTATGCTCTTCATCTCCATCTAGTGGCCATAATGTAGTATTACATTTCCTATGCTACTCATCTCCATCTAGTGGCCATAATGCAGTATTACACTTCATATGTTCCTCAGCTCCATGTAGTGGCCGCAATGCAGTATTACATTTCCTATGCTTCTCAGCCCCATCTAGTGGCCATAATGCAGTATTACATTTCCTATGCTTCTCAGCCCCATCTAGTGGCCATAATGCAGTATTACATTTCCTATGCTCCTCATCTCCATCCAGTGACCATAATGCAGTATTACATTTCCTATGCTTCTCAGCCCCATCTAGTGGCCATAATGCAGTATTACATTTCCTATGCTCCTCATCTCCATCCAGTGACCATAATGCAGTATTACATTTCCTATGCTTCTCAGCCCCATCTAGTGGCCATAATGCAGTATTACATTTCCTATGCTCCTCATCTACATCCAGTGACCATAATGCAGTATTACATTTCCTATGCTCCTCAGCTCCATCTAGTGGCCATAATGGGGTATTGCATTACATTAGACCTGAAAAGAAACTATACTAACGTTCTTTTTTGCCTCTATTCACACAGAATGAACTTCACAGTGATTCTGCAAATTGTTTATTAATAGACCTCATAGACAATGCAGAACTGGAGAGACATCATTCAGTGCTTCCTGCCTTACCCCTAATGACCCGAAGTCTGAAGAGTTACAAGGAAATGTCACGTATTTAGAAAAAACGTCTGGTACCAATGTACCTACCAG